TGATTTGGGATGATGCTGTAAGCAAGGAAGGTATTTGGCCATCCTACCATGACCTACTTGGTTCAAGTCTCGGAGATTACAACTTAAATAAACAATTATTTTAAATGCATGTTAATTTATTTCTCCATTAGTTGTTGCACTAAAGCAACAAGATGGGTGAGGTAATATCTGTTAGTGGACCAACTTCTGTTGGTGAAAATGACAGGCATTTAAACTTATACAGATCTCCTTCCCAGGTCTAGCAAAGCTACTCTGTTCATCACAGCTAACTACGAGGTCAAGCAGATAGTTTAGCATAAGTACTTACTGTACATTCTAAGGAACCATTCCCAGTGAAGCGGCCTGTTACCACCCTTGTAATCACCGGACAAAAAGGGAGGTGGATGGGTTATAGATTGTTGCAATTCTGTGATTTCATTAAGCCCATGAGTTTTAGCGTCTTGCAAAGTGATCGATTTAAGCTCCCACAATCTGCTTTGGAAGGTGCGGTGCAGGTTTCATTTGGGGATGAGGACTGAGAGGTCAGATACGGAGCGATCGCTGTGCGAGAAGTTTGTTCCTCACCAGGGAGAGAGTGGTTTTGACTTTTATTATTTTTCCTGTGAGTGTTCATTTGAGAGCGCAGTGGTTATCCGGTGTCAGCCGGAGGCGTTTAGTGCTGGAGGTGTGTTGTGGCGGGGTGTTGATCACTGTAGCAGTGGCGATCTGTCTGGAGGTTTTGCATTTGTGGTTCTGGCAGGATCTGGTGTTGCTTTGAGATGGGGCATCCTGGTCTGTGGGGGTCTTCCTCAGAATCATAGAGCCATAGAGTTAGCACGGACTGCAGGGATCATCTATGCAACCCCTGCCAAGATGTAGAATTTGAAGCACCATTGCAGAAAATGGCAAGGCCTCACTGCCTCAGACAGGTAACAGCTCAATAGATTTCAAGACCAGACGGGCGCACCATGATCATCTCATCTAACCTGTCTAGTACAGGCCTGAAACCTGCCCCCAAACAATTCCTTTTCCGCTAAAGCGCCTTCTTCTAAATTGCCATCAATGGAGGATCTACCACAACGCTTAGGAAACTCTTCCATGGTTAATGATCTTCATGTTTAAAAATGTGTACCAGAGGCCCCTGCTTTGTGATGGCTTGAGTTACGACCTCCCCCATCTCCCCCGCACTTATGGCCTTTTCTGTAAGTGAGGAAGGAGCCAAAATCCCCCGACTTACGTCCTCGGCCCTGCATTTATGACAGCATACGACACCTGTCGTAAATGCGGACTCGAGTTACAACATCCCCGACTTGCGACACGATCTCTGGAACCGATCGTGTCACAAGTTGGGGGCAGTCCAGTCTCCCCTGGTCTAGCTTCACCTTCCAGCCATTGGCTCTGGTTTGCTAGATTTTCCACCCATGTAAATACTTACAGACTATGATCAAGTCGGCCCATAATCTTCTCCTGGTAAAGAGGAGTAGGTCATGCTCCCTGAGTCGATCCCTACAAGGCATGTTATAGAGGGGGTGATCTCTCCAAAGCTGGTCCATTTTCTGGCCAGTTACAGGTGGCTCAGTAAACAGCAGCACGGGACATTGTCAGAGCAGGAGAAGGCCTGGACTGGAGCGAGATACTTCTGTGGACCTCTCCAAAAATATCCAGCTTTCTAAGGGGACTGAGCACCTTCCAGAATGCCTCTATTTCTACCACCCCCTGGAGGGCTGTTTAATGAATTAGTTAATACTCATAAAACACTTTGAAGATGGAAAGAGCTAGATAAATGCTGCGCTTTATTGTTACCCAGCCTTGGGGAGAACTCGTTCATACCAGCAACATTAGCATTCGCCCCACCCCGGGCGGGTGGAAATCAGATTGGAGTGGGTAGAAACCATCTGGGAGTGGGGGAAGGACATGCCTGGTAAATTGAAGGAGTGAAGCAGGCTGAGAAACAGAGCCAAGCTCTCTAAGGGAAGAGGGAGAATTCAGCAGTCCTACAAAACCCCCTGGCAGCCTCTTAAAATCCATGATCTCCTTGTGTCCCCTCCACAGCAGGGGGCCTACAGTGGCAGGTGGCTGCAGAGAGGCTGATGGGTGAAGCTAACATGTTGTGCATGTCCCCTACTCAGTGCGGCAAACATAACAGGGCCGGGGAGAGAGGGATTCTCTCCCCTCACTGCAGAGGAGTAGGCCTCTCATCCCATTCCGGAGGACCGCTCTCCTACACATGTCCACGTGAGCCAGAATGGGCAAGAACCGGGCCATCTCCTGCAGGTGTCATTTCACGAGTGGGTGAAATTCAGTCTGTGGGGGAGTGTCTCCAAAGAGCACTCACTCTTGCTCTGGTCCTCTAAGGCCGGAGTGGGGAACCTAGATCAAGCCCTTAAGGCTCAGGGCTCCCCCCCAGAATTGGGAAGCCTACAATGGTGCTCAAGCCCCTCTGCTGCCTCCCCGTGGGGCTGGAGCATACATAATCTACTAGCCTAAGCCCTGCTAGGCTCTGGTGTCTGAGAGGAATGCGGGGAGTGTCTTTCTGCTTCTTAGTCAGGGACCACGTCAGTTGAAGGTTGGTTGGTTGGCTTTGCTTCTCACTTGTGTGCAGCCTCCGATGGATTTTCCTGTGGGTCAGCGGCCCCCGACCACAAAAAAGGTTCCCCACCCCTGCCCTAAGGGACCCCCATTCATATTGACAATGTATATTTAAACCTCATCCCACGAGGCATACCAGGGAGGTCGACAAATGCCTTTGATGTCGACCGCGGAGCGTCCAGACTACAGCGCTGAGCCGCCAAACCGCTGATCGGCTCAGCGTGGCAGCCATTGTAATTTAAATGAAGTGGCAATTATTTAAATCGCCGCTTCATTTGGGTATGTCTAGTAAACTAATCTAGATGGCTCTTGCGACAGAGCCATGTAGTCTAGACATACCCTGAGAAACTGCCTGCACTGAAGTTACAAGGTGGAAAGAGACTGCTCAGTGGGGCTCTTACTACTTTGGGCTAAGGCATATGCACTCTGACCTAGATCCTCAAAGGTGTTTAGCTTCCTTTCGAATAGACATTAGCAGCCTAAATACCTTGGAAGATTTGGGCCCCTGTATTTCCTCAGTCATATGATCGCCAGTCCAGAAAATGCTGGCTTTTGAGTGAACCTGGCTTCATGTAGACTTGCAAGGGGCCCCTCCAGGGAAGAAGAGAGAGGTTCTGACACAAGCCCTTGCCGGGTGTTTACAGAGTATGGATTTGCTGCTCCTCACAGAGTCACAGACACGCACGTAACTGCCAGCCCCCTCCGCACTATCCAATAGAACAAGCAGCAGGAGCTGGGGTGGAAGACATGACCTCTTGGGAGCACAAAATGGCCTCAGCAGGGAAACATCCTGGCACTTCCTGTCCCAATCCAGCCTCTGAATATAAAGATTATCGACCAGCCTTGTTGCATGTTTCATCAGGATCTCATGTATGAAGCAGGGCATGGGCGGCCCTGCAGCATAAAGCAAAGCCCAGTCACTAGCCCGCAGCAATGGGAATGCTCCTAGTTCCTAAAAGGATGTGTTCTTTTTTAGACACATATTTAAATGCAGAACGGACGGTCCAGGCGAATGCCGTCCTGTCTGTAGGGCAGAGCATTCTGCCTTGTGCCTGAATTCGATCAGCCAGCTGGAAAGGTAGCGTCGCCTTCCTTATGGACTGACAGGAAATAAATCTGGCAAAGGGATGTGCCCCATGATTTCATGCCTGTGAACTGAGGCCGAACCTGTTCAGCCAGAATGACAGGATGGAGTTGGATAGCTCCCCCTCTGCACCCTCAATCTGCTGGTTGGGGAAAAAGTCAGGCTTTGGCTCCCTGACACTTCCACACTGATTGGTTTATTTTTTATTTAGCGCCACTACATTCCATGCAGAATGCTAGCATCCCGATCGGCATGCCTGCACAGACGGCTTGGTTCTGTGGGGGGAAGGCAGGTAGGAGCGCAGAAGGGCAGAGGCGAGCTGTCAAAGGTCACAGAGTAAGAGCGTGGAGGGAGACATTCGCCCTTGTGCAGAAAACTCACCCAAAACCTGGTTTGTGGCAATGAAGTGGCGCAGGCCGGACACAATGCAGAGGGGTCCGGTCTGCCCTAGGTGTGGCGAGGAGATGGCCAGCAGGATGACTATGATGAGGTCATGCGTCAGTTTGATCTTGTTACCACAGGCGAAAGGACATCTTGTAACGAACTTGTCGACTTGTGCTATGACCAGCCACTTCAGCATCTAGCCAGTAGAGGGTGCCACAGAAGCCAGGCAGCTGGCTGTGTGGAGGCTGGTAGGTGGGAAGGCCCAAGAGCCGGACAGAAATGGCGGCAGGGACTAGCAGTAGCTGCAGCATGAGGATACAGGCCTGTGAGCGGCAGAGACCAGGTCTTTCCCTTTTCTACCTCTCACCCCTTGAAGCTAGGCTGGGAACTGTTGCATTGAGCATTTTTGCTGTAGCTCTCTGTGGCTGTGCCTAGCATGTTGGCACCTTTTATTTTTGGAAGCCCTAGTTAAGACTCTTAGGCCAGGTCTACACCTGACCCAGCAGCTCAGCTTAAGGTACACAACTCCAGCCAGGAAATTGGATGAAGGTCCAGAGAAGAGCAACAAAAATGATTAAATGTCTAGAAAACATGAGCTATAAGGCAAGGCTGAAGGAATTGGGCTTGTTTAGTTTGGAAAGGAGAAGACTGAGAGGGGACATGATAGCGGTTTTCAGGTATCTAAAAGGGTGTTACAAGGAGGAGGGAGGAAAAATGTTCTCCTTGGCCTCTGATGATAGGACAAGAAGCAATGAGCTTAAACTGCAGCAACGGAGGTTT